CACACACACACACACACACACACGCACACACACACACACACACACACACACTTTGAAACAATTCATAGACACACACACTTTGAAACAATTCACAGAATTGGATTGTTTTACAGTGATTGACAAATTATTCCAAAGAGTTGCTCCACTATAATTGAAGGTCTTTGTCTTAAATTCTCATTTTGGGAATGGATGTACTAGATCTGTGTGAGAATTTCTTCATTGGTGTATAATTGGACAATCACTTATTTTCAAAAACAATTATTTTAGGATTTGTGCGGTTTCATTATTTAAGATTTTCTAAATAAAAATGGATTTCAAGTATTTTCGTCTATTGTCAAGAGGTTGCCACCCCAAAGTTGCAAGAACATCGGCCGACCTAGAATCATAAGCTGCTCCTGTTATTACTCTAGCAGCTCGAGATTGACATTTTTGTAGTTTTCCTTTAAGACGATTTCACAGTTATCCCACAATTGACAGCAGTAGTCAAAATAGGGCTGTATTAAGGCGTTGTAAACTGTTTGTAAGAATTCCTGAGGAACACAAGTTTTCATTCGTTTAATCACTGCAATGCCTGCATTAACTTTCTTAATAATCATATCAATATGGTGTTCCCAGTTTAATTTTTCGTCTAAAGTGACACCGGGGCATTTGTAGCAATTTACCCTAGGGACAGGAACATTGTTAATTAAGATCGGGGATGCAATAAGCAAACATTTAGGTTTCTCAGGATGAATTTGTAGCTTATTATTCTCCGGCATCCATTGCGTAACAATATTTAGGTCATAACTTATGTTCTCAATAAGATCATTTACTTTGTGTGACGACGCGTAAATATCCGTGTCATCAGCATACAGACCCGGCGTGGTTTTTTGGAGGCATTGTGGTAGGTTATTGATGTAAAGCAAAAATAACAACGGCTCTGGGATCGACCCCTGGGGGACCCCACAATTTCAAAGTTTAAACGCATTTAGAGTTCATGTTGCGTTTTGTCAATGGCCCAAATATTATAGGCGCTTAAAAGACAATATGTTTCTTTTTCAAATCCATTAAAGTAACTAAAAGGAGTCGAGCGTCAGGTGACTTTGCCGCCTCTGGTTATATATTTTAGTTGGTCCAACCACGTCCACTACAGTTGACCCAACCACGTCCACTACAGATAATCCAACATCGTCCACTACAGATGATCCAACATCGTCCACTACAGTTGAACCAACATCGTCCACAACAGATGAACCAACATCGTCCACTACAGATGATCCAACATCGTCCACTACAGATGAACCAACATCGTCCACTACAGTTGAACCAACATCGTCCACTACAGATGAACCAACATCGTCCACTACAGTTGAACCAACATCGTCCACTACAGATGATCCAACATCGTCCACTACAGTTGAACCAACATCGTCCACTACAGATGAACCAACATCGTCCACCACAGATAATCCAACATCGTCCACTACAGATGATCCAACATTGTCCACTACAGTTGATCCAACATCGTCCACTACAGATGAACCAACATCGTCCACAACAGATAATCCAACATCGTCCACAACAGATGAACCAACATCGTCCACTACAGATGGTCCAACATCGTCCACCACAGTTGGTCCAACACCGACTACACCAGGTACATATAGTATTATAGTATTGGTATATTGTTTATTTTACTTTTTATGTGTAATTGTTGGCGAGTTCCAAACTATCTTTGCATTTTGCAATTTTTTTTTTCTGCAGAAGAGTTTCATTCAAAGTAGCCGTAAGATTAGTAATATTGAAATTATGATATTAATCAGAAATTTTACACCACATTGAAACGCGCTTGCGCACAAAAATGGAAGTTTAAGAAACAATTTGAATGCAGTGATCGTAAGCTTCGAAAGCGTTTTATAATCTAAGAATATTTCAGACAACGTTGCAGACGTGTACTAAGTCCATCCATGGACCTCTCAATGAAACGTCGGCTTTTGCGCCCTTTTATTAAATTATACGCCTTACTGATTTCATGCATTGTTAATTTAATTTATGCATGGTCGATTTATCATATACTTGTGAAGGCCCATTTCCACTCAGGGAAATTCAGGGTATTTTTTAAGAAATTGCAACTACTGGGGCCAAATCTCAATGAGGGCCTTTTCCCGCACGGCAGAGCCCGCACAGCTTATGCCTGTGCTCAGCTGCGACCCCGAGTTGGGGGTGGGGGGGGGGGGCGGTGTAAGTGAAATTTTGCCGACTCATTTTAAACGCTAATATATATCTTTTCCCAAAATCGGTTAACGTAGCATTGTTTGTTTAATTTTCCATAAATACTTTTTGTACATTTCTCTAAATTTTTGTACATTTCTCTAAATTTTTGATCGGTGTAAGTTTTTCTCTTCCTATCCGACTGGGATTAGATAATTGCCGACAACCTGACAACTGCGGGTGTTCCAATAATAATCAAAAGCGCCAAGTTCATCTGAAAATCGAGCTTCACTGGTGGGGTAAATGCCACAGTAGTTATATAGTTAAAAAATGCCCTGGCCGGAAATTTTCCGCAGAAAGAAAATTTTCTGCAGAATGTGATTGGCCGACACATATTTTCTGTCTTAAAAAAATTTAAAGTTGGAAATTTTTAACTTTTGACAATGAAATTAATTTGAAAATTTTCTGTCCCTGAAAAGTGTTCTTGAGTGGAAATGAGCCTTACAATGAGTTAAAATTTACGGGGAAAAGGGTAATATAGTGCGCCTTGCTGCAATGGTGGAACTTGTTCAAATAACGGAAGTCTGATATGCAAACAACAGAGGTCTGATACTTCACAGTACAGACCGAACAAGCGAGGTCAATAATCGGTTTATTATATGGCTGAACTGAGTCTGTGAGCATATGCTTTTCGCGCGAATTAAATCGGCTATCGTCAGTTTCACTGGGTAACAATATACAGTAGGCATGCATGCTCAATCAAAAACAATTTGGTTGTTTGAAATTTTTATCTGTAAAGCACAATTGGAAATTTAAAAAGAAAAAATTTTTCTGTTTGCTTGGCAAAAATTTCCCGCCAGATAAACAACATCCGGGACACCGTTCCAGATACGGAAAATACGGACCACGGTCCGGATATGGGTTTTTACGGACCGCTTGTCAACCAATCAGAATAGAGAATTTTGAAAAGCCATATAATAAAAACGATTATTACCTCAGCCAGAAGTTTTTAAACTTAACAGTTTTCAGCCACGTTTCCATTTCCCCAGGTGTGAGTTTGTCTACCAGCTCGATAATTCAAAAGTATCAACTTTGCTAACACGAAGATTTAAGCGACTGTGAACCGCAGCTTTTTGTTGTTTTATTTTTACATTTCGACCTCTTTTTCGACAAGGCCAAAGTATAAAAGAACAAGATCGTACATGCATGCTGTTCAAAGTACAATCAAGACCTCTCAAAACTAAATGTAATCATATATGCCTGAAATACGTGATCCTCTGCATACAAGTTCCTTCAGTTGCTTCGTGACAGCAAGATGGAGTCGAGCGTCAGATGACTTTACCACCTATCTCTAGTTATATCTGTTTCAGTTGGTCCAACACCGCCCGCTACAGACACTACAGTTTGTAGTACAACACTGACCACTACAGATCCTGTAGTGGTCAGTATTGTGCTAGCCATACGGCCGCTGTCACTCATGGCCTTGTGAATCAACTAGCTCTCCTTAGTACCCACGCTATACGCTCTTCACGTCCTCGGGGATAAAACGTTTGAAAGAAATGTCTTTATAATGCAGTTTCAAAGACAGTTACTTAACCAAGAAATTCTCGAAAAGACACTGGTAATTGATGTCAGCATCACCTGATGCATGTGAGAGCGTAATTCCTATAAACGCTTGTTACCTCGGCCAGAAGTTTACATTTTCAGCCACGTTTCTATTTCTCCCGTTTGTCTATCAGGTCGATAAATGCAAAATTATCAACGATACTAACACGAAAATTTAAGCGATTGTGGACCGCGGCATTTTGTTGTTTTGTTTTTACATTTAGAACTCTTGCGAATGTATAAAAAAAACAAGATCATGCATGCATGCTGTTCAAAGTATATAATCAAGACCTCGCACGATAAATTCAAAATTATCAACGATACTAACACGAAAATTTAAGCGATTGTGGACCGCGGCATTTTGTTGTTTTGTTTTTACATTTAGAACTCTTGCGAATGTATAAAAAAAAAACAAGATCATGCATGCATGCTGTTCAAAGTATATAATCAAGACCTCTTTAAAATTTGGGTCTCTGAAATAGCATTTCCTGCATTCTGAGAACAAAATTTAAAATATATCTCAGCTTCTCAAAACAAAGCTTTAATGGCGAAATTTATAGTAAATTGCTTGCTAAACATTCAAACACAACATAAGTTTACGTAAGAACCCCATTGCGTTATTTATGCGCGATAAATAACCTAATTCGAAGTCATCGTGTCCCCTCAAGTCTACATAATTTTAACATTTTTAATTTTATCTAATGTAGTTCTTCCATGTGTCAGTGATCCATGCATGAATGGTGGAAATTGTTCAGATAGTGGAACATCATTCTCTTGCTCATGCCCGCATCGATATACTGGTGACTTCTGCCAAATTGATGGTAAATATTATTTTCAAAAATGTGCTAGATGCGTGTTTTTCTTTTTCCCATTTTCATTCCGGAAATAATTTTGTGGAATTCATATTTATTTCATGTGATGCTGTGATTCACTGTCTTATTAAGAACACCTCAAAAGTGGCTTGCGCACAAAAATGGAAGTTCAAAACAGAATTTGAATCGATATGGGCAAGATGAAAAGTGTTTTATGATCTAACAATTTGACGTATACTATGCCACCACCCAATCTCTCAATTAGATGTGGTATTTTTCGACGTGCTTGTTAATTCATAACTGTTTTCATCCATGACATTTTTTTATATGCATGATTGATTTATCTCAAACTCATTAATAATTCATGAGCAAATTAGCGAATGAACTCACCCTAATTCGTCACATGATTGAGGTTGGATACCGCAAGGAAACACGCTAAAAATCATATACCATCACTGTTGTTAGATGAAAAACGGGTTTCATCTAATAACTGAGATCCTAATTACAAATTCAAGTCAAAACACAACAATATACTATAATAATATATATAAGCCAATGAAATGTTTTCGTTTGAGATGTTGTGTAAACAACTCGTTTCTCGTGTTTCATCAGGGGACCAAACACTCGAAAACAATAAAACAATCGCGCTCGTGTTTCATACAGTTTTCTCGTGTTTGGATCCCGTGATGAAACACTCAAACTCGTTGTTTACATATAACATCAAATACTCTCTACAAGTAGTTAGAGGTCTTTTTGAACGCGTTCGTTTTGTTTAATTGTTTTGTGGCTGTCACTTGACTGCTTTAAGTTGATTGGTGCAATTTAGATCCCAATGTTTGTTACAGATTCTTGCACCTCATGTTATATGGGATTAACTGTACTGAAATCAACCAATATGCGTTGATAGCGCTTTACTGTATATTAAGTACTATTTAAAAAACTCGCGGGACTGTTTTATTAGGTTTAAAGCCACGAGCGCGCAGCGCGAGTGGCTTTAGACCTAATAAAACACGACCCGCGAGTTTTTTAAATGACTTCAAAAACGTACGCATAATAAGTCAAATCTTTATATAAAAATCTTTATATAAAAACCTTTATATAGTTTGCATAAGAATGGTCTTTTGTTAAAGTGTTCTTTAGCTGGTATAAAGACGTATGCACATGACTAATTTCTTACTCAAGATTGGATAATTGCTTCATGAATTATTAATGAGTTTTTGAAAGCTATATATAACATTTGTTTTTCAGTTTTTCTTGTTTTGTTTCCGGTTTCTTGGCAAAAGCATTGTGAACGAAATTATAGAGTGCCGTTTAAATCCAAATTAGTAGAAACTAATGGACCGAAAATGAAGTGCCAAGGCGCCAACAAAAGACAGTGGAACAGGAAAGGCACATAGATTTTCACAGCTGTTTTTGAGTCTGAATTAATCAAGCCGATAAAAATTTTAAAACTTTAAAAAGCTACAGGAATACAGAAAAAAACAAGGAAAACTACAAAGTCAGTAAACAAAATCAATTAAGAATGTACCTTAAACGACATATATCTTAGAAAACAACTTAACGAAAACCTCATACTCCAAATCCGGCTTGTAAAACGCAACAAAACAACAGCAAATTCGTCTCCTTATCAGCGTGGGTTATGTTTGTGATTTTCGAACATTGTCCATCCAGTTTATTAAGATTCGTGTTCAATATTTATTATGTTTTTTTGCATCGCCCGCCTGAAAATTGAATTTTTTGCCAAGCGATGAATAAAAACATGATGTGACGTCACTTATTACATGTTAGTAGAATTTCAAAATCCATCTTCCAAATAAAATTATTTATTGGGTATAACATCTTCTTATATTATAAAAGAAAATGAGAAATAGAAAAACTTGTCTCGTGCGTTTATAGTGCGATATTGCAGTCAGGGATTGTTGGAACAATACTCGAGAATTGAAACTTGTGCATATCCATGTCTTACCCTTGTCGTGAAGTTTTTATCCAGCCAATATTTTGACCAGGCGTATACTGTAGG